AGTTTAAAAACATTGTGCCATTTTTCGAGTCCCTGCTGTGCAATGACAAATATTGTCACAGCGTTTAAAAAAACGTGAATAAAGTGAAGAAGATGAAAGATACAAAACTTTAGTTGAAGTATTTTTTTTTACATACAACTGAGGCTTGATCACACCCCAATTAACAAATTAAGAAACAGATATAGAGAGTAATGATGTACATGATTATTTACGCATTGTTGTGAAGGAACAAGATGTTATCTACACAACCCGGAGACAACCTCGTCCTTCAATGTCGAAGAACAAGTCCAGTGGAGCTGAGATTTCGCACGCTACTCGCGCTCGTCGCTGGAATACACGGGATTTTCCGCGCAATTTGGCTGAGCACGTGATATTTTGCTGCATGAGATTTCCACTACTCAAGAAGGTCCCCGATGTTTACACAACTGTTTTCACTGTCTAAGTAACGTTCCACCTCGGTGTTGCTAGGGCGAGGTTTCTCGGCTTGTGGCCATTCTTCGAAGGCGGTGGGTTTTCCTGCTTTCAACATTTTGCGCGTGGCTCATCCTGTTCGCCTGGTTCACGAAGCATCTCTATTAAAAAAAATCAAATTTATTGCCAGGTTTCCTGAATCGTAGACATGCGTTCTCAGGAGTCGCATACTCCTATTTGAGAACAACTGACCTAGAGGGTTGTCATAGTGTAGCGGGCTTTGTATAAAACCTAATGACTTGCGGCACAATATCCAGATTGCCACTGTTTGTGTTCAAACAAGCTTTTTGGTACTTTCTTTGTTTTCGAAGATAAGATAAATATTTACCCCAATTCCGAAATATTTGACAATAAGGTCGGGCAGTCGGGCCCCGATGTCTCCAACTAGAATCGACCCGAGCTCGACGCAGTTCGGATGAAATCGACAAGAACCCGAACCGAACTCGAACAGGGCTCTCATCTATTGGCCCAAGCCCGACCCGACTGTCGGGTCGGGCTCGGGCTTTCGGGCTAGCCCGAGCCCGCGCAGATCTCTAGGGCCCGCTACCGGAATCCTCAGACAGCGAAGATGAAGCGCTCCTTCGAGTGATCAATGATCACGAAAGGCTGACACAACAAGATGTTGTCGATTTCAGTTACGTTATGCACAGTTAATGCTTGGATCTGCAAAACAGTGTTTTGTTGGCGGGAAGGCCCGACCGCCGTTAGCGGGTGTTCGGCAACAAAACGAACACATTCGCGATTCCAAGATAGTAGTCTCTATACGTTTTGTAAATGTTTTATTACAAAAACAAATTTCGGCAGAGAGACTTAAGACTGCTCACATGTAGGAATGCGAAAGCATTTTTACACGCCGCGTATTCCTACAAGCAGCGACGGTGGGGGAGCATTGATCTCACTGCCAGAGCGCACACGACGCTCTGGCAGTGAGATCAATGCTCCCCCACTTCGCAGGCGCGGTGAACCCCGCCGGCTTCTCGACGGCTTCCGTGACGAAGCATTGTGTTGCTGTACTTTTTTTGTTTTTTTTATTTCTGGGGCGCTCCGCTTTGACCTTGAGCGCACCCGCCGGCTTCCGCGACGAAGAATCTGCGTTGCTCTGCTTTTCTTTGTGTTTTATTGGAAATGGAAATTCAGGTACTGTTTCGCTCAGCCAATGGAAGGTGATGCTCCGTTTTTTGCGGCTACAGACAATGATAACGACGGCTTCCCTCCATGGGACAGTTAATGCTTTCGCATTACGATCTAACTTCATGTAATTTAAGTGCATGACGCTGAGGTTGACACTTGTTATTTCCCGGAGCTCTTCCGTAGTCGACTGGTGTCAGCCACATCCGGCCTCTGTGAAAATATCGGGGTCGGGCAGAAATATTCAAACATGTATTTGGAATTACAAATACTGGGATACATTAAGATAGTAGCTAAGATACTGATACTAAAAAAATATCTGTAAAAATGTGTCGCGATACGTATCGGAAATACATTTTCAATGAGGCAAAAAGACTTTGTAAATGCAAATACAGGAATTCCTTTTTGGGGACGGCAGAAATACAAATACAGAAATACTGACACTGCAATACATTCTTCAAATTTGTTTGAGACGCCAACTGAGATGAAACTTGAAGTTTGAAGTGGAAGTTTTTGATCCCGAAATTATTTTCCCGTAGGCTTGGCAGTTTGCCTTGACGATAGTGGTTTCGGACGACGAGAAGTCTTCAATGGGCTCAAAAAAAAACGTTCCATCAAGGACTGACCGCGGTCCCTTCACTGACATCCTGTCTGTCTGACGAGGGGTGCGAAAAGTCTTCAATCTCTAAGTAAATTTTATGTTACCCTAAATCCCATCAAAACTTCACCACGCCCCTGTCCAATAAGGACGCCCCTGTCAACATTGATCACATGACGTCACGGTGGAATGAACTGGTATTCTTTTTCTGTGGGTCTGGCCTGGAACATGAAACTTTACCACCCTGCTGTATGAAAGGACAATACGTGCTTTCGTTGGAGGTTAATAGTTCAAGATCGTGCAGGCAGTGTCATTTGGAATTTTTGAAAATAATGGACCACCCGAAACATCCGGGAATACATGTCTTGTCTTCTGTTATGGTTGAAAAAACGATACGGTGGCATCCCTGTTCTGAAGGTCCTTCCTGCCGACCCTCTACCACCGACGCATGGATTGCAGTCCTCAAATTTCGCCTAGCATCATTAAAACAGAGACCTCGTGGATTGCGATCTCATATTGCCGGCTCAGGTGCGAGCTCTCTGAGAAACAGCGCGCTCGAGACGAGTCGCAGGTGTACGAAGTCTGGGTCGGCACAGCGAGGCCACGTCTGGCCTCCTTCCTGGATTTCGGATCGCCAGAGCAGCGGGTCACGTTCACGTCGGCTGATGGCATACCCGCGAGCCGTGCAATATCACGGGCGCAGCCGCAGACGCATTGAAATATGTGCTGAACTTTACTGCGTGAGTCATCCTAATATTTCAAGTCAACCACCACCAGGATCGTGATGCAACGGACTGTGACTCAGCTTTGTATGATGGGGTACTGTACACACTAAGACAAGAAAGACGGTTAGCAGTGGCCACTGGATGCCAGCAAATAAGGACTCAAGAAATCCCTACTTACGGACCTGCGGCAAAAGAAGCTCTGACTCCACTCCTGATACGCCACCTGGTTCGAGTCTCCGACTACGCAATACTTCTCAGAAGGGAGAAGAGGACGGATAGAAAAATAGTTTGGAGAATCGGAAGGAACTTTGGTCAGCATAGCAACAATACGAAATGTATTTCTGAAATACTATCGCGACACATTTGTATCGCGATACTGCCCAACCCTGGAAAATAGCCACGCTGAACTAATTGTTAACGGTGTTTCCGTCACAAATAAAAACTAGACTCTGCATTGTCGCGTTCCCCACTACCTCTCGTCGTCCTTCCAGCAGAGCGGCGTGCTTGTTTCGGTTCCCCGTTGGTACGCTTAAGGTTGGCTTACACACTTGCGATCGCTTACTACAGTTAACCTAAAAACATTTACGACGAGAGACCATAATGACGCCATCCATCGAGTAGCCATGAAATAAAAAATGTGGGTGTGTGTATGTCTATACAGCCTAGAACTTAGTCTGCTTCGACGGGCGACTTGTCTCCCAGCTGTAAATGAGAAATTCAACCAGTGCAGTACAACCGCTAGCCTGCGATCTTCAACGTGCATCATGCAGACGACCGCACTCCGGTATGATGCTCATCCAGATCGAAACGGGCAGGGCTGGGGATTGAACCCAGGATCGCTGGGTTCTGCAGCGCGAGCTTTCGTTCCAAGTGCTCCGAGCTGGTGAGCGCTAGACCACTCAATTTACACACTTGCATTTACCTTACCATTCATTTTGTTTACACACATAATAATTTGTTGCCTTGAAAAACATTTGACAGTGTTGTAAACGATCATATTCCAGACTCCTAGATAAAATACGTACATTTAATCTTGTGAATACTGCAAAACTTTCGCTCTAGTGAAATCGAGACCCAGTGTCACCTCATGAATGGCGCCAGCGTGCCACATGTTTTCTCCTAAGACATTGCGAAAACTCGGTTCTACGCAAACGCAAGTGTGTGAACAGGCCTCTACTGCTGTACTGCAGCATATAAATGGCGAAAACCGATATTGCGCTGGAAAAGCTCGTTTTGAACCGGTACTCCGTGCGGGACTCCGTGAGAGCGATGCATTCTTGGACCCAAAGCCGCCTGTCGAATTAATTCGTTTCTCTCTGTGTTTCAGAATGGTTTATACTCGGGGAGTTTGACAATATCTTGGAAATGGCGACCGTCTAGCAACCACGGCTGGGAGTCTGGCAACGGGGAACTGATGTGTCCCCTCCACCATCTTGTGTTTCTGACACAAAACAAACCATGACCGTTTCATTTAAAGAATATGACTGCCGGGACACATGTTCCACCCATTGACCAGACACCCTCAGTATATATAGCTCAAATAGCTCGGCGCTGGAGTACGGTTAGGAGTCTTTTTTTTTTTCTTCTTTTTTTTTTTCAGAGTATTCTATAACAGTTTTTTACGTGAGTTTTTCTTTTTAAATAATATTGCATCGAATTGAACTGGGGAAGCAGAATCCGGCAGGGCCGGCGAATATATACGTGTTTGCCGCGAGGCCCCACCTGCGATCAAAAATGTGTACATAGTAATTACATTTCTTAACTATTGCAAAGCATATGTCAAGAGAATTTAAGTAAATTATGCAGCAGTTACTCTTCATTAAGAAACGCGTACGTCCACCTGCGTATTATTTTTTTTCAGGAACTTTTTTTAAAGTATTATATGTACGCAGACAGCGTGCAGGCACGCTGTCTGGTAAAGTGAGCGTGAAGTCATCAGCGTAAATTGAAGTACAAAACAGGCATGCGTACTTCCATACGTAGCGCTTATCGACGGCGTTAAAAAAACATCAGCCTGAGTATTGTAAATGTTGGCTTTTAGAAAATAAAAATAACAAGCGAGTTTATAGCATACGTACGTTTTGCTGCTTTCTACGCCAGTCTGCGGTACTGCAACGTTGCGATTGGAGTTCTCTTCAAGCGAGGCTGTTTGAGGCTGGCCTATGACATTCTCGGGTAGTTTCTTTCGTGCGAGCCGGCTAGGCCACATTTTGTACGGTATCTTGCTGGAAAAGACCGAGGAAGCTCGAACCGAAACCAAAGACGCTCTGTAAACAAAAAAAAAGAAAAACACAAATGACCTTTACTTGTTCAGTCACGCAGCATATGCCTAAAGCCACATTCCCACTGCCCGCACAACATAACAAAAGACACGCGGTGCTTGCCACAAACACGATGGCAGTATTATCCGTGGACTACGCCTCACGCGTACTCTAAGCATGTTTGCTTCATACATACATATGTTTACGCTGCCAACATGTTTGCAGACATGATGACCGTCTGGCCTCTGGCTGAGACGTTAGCATTACCTCCAAGCAGCACGGATCTTGGCCAAGCGATGGCCAAAGGCTGGGGTGGCCAAAGAGTGGCCATTCATCGGTCAATGTTTGGCCGGTGGCTGATGGCCAGAGAGACGCAAGTCATTGGCCATTGTCTGGCCACTGTCTGGCCAATGGCCCAAAGACCATTGCCAGCCATTGGACCAATGATTGGCCAAATCTGTGCTGCTTGGGAGCTCTCCCTCGCTGTTTGCAGACAGCGTTTTGTAGGGCCAACGTGAAACGACTGTCGTGCAAGGAAAGAAACACGCCTCTGCAGACAGTGTCCTTTTTGTATGGTGCACGAGCAGTGCGACTTCAAGGAGACGCTGTGGCGAGCTCACCCGTAAGACGGCCAAGGCGATCCGGCTGCCAACTTATTGTTAACGGCAAAATGGGTCGCTATACGTCGCTTCTGGTCGATCTGTATTTGAACGAAGAAAAAAAATGTGGCTCCGCCTTTGACAAACGGCTCTTTCGAAAGCACGCAAAGCAGCGTGAGCAGTACGCGTGCGCCACAATCGCTCGGGCACGCACTGGGCTGGGCCGCTGGAAACGCCCAAGTATACCGGCAGGAGTTGTGGGAGGAACGAATACTACACGCCGGGTTCGACCGAGAAAATAAAACCCGGTGCATAAATAAACTATATACGTATTGCAGAAAGCCAAAAACTCTGTGAGATATGAAACGCTAGCGGGGTTGATAAGATGGAAAAATATGATCACAGGGCATTGTTTCAAATAAAGTAATAAAAAAAACTTCCTTTTGTTTTTTATGAGTTGACGTTTACCTAGGACGCATCAAAACCTAAATTTGAGCCCTCACAATCTCAAATTTAGGAATGGAACTCATAGAAAACGTTTTCTTCTATGTAATCTCTCGATTCGGGTAACGTCATATGCTCAAACTTCCGCATGTTATCAACACGTCTAGCGTCACATTCTCAGGGAGTTTCAATTTTTGGCGATGATTTATGCGGGCCGAAGATTCGGGCTTTAGTTCCTCGATGCAACCCGGTAGAATGAATGAAGGAGTGTTCTGGTGACCGAGATCTGATTCGTATAAAAGACTATAAAACTCCCTATGAAAAAAATAAAACCGGTTTCGATGTAGTTGATTTGTATGGCGGTTCCATCATATCGTTGTCACAACAGCGTCTGGAAGTGTTCAGGTGGGGCGGAGTAACCACGGAATTATATAGCAGCGGAGACTGGCGTTCTTTGTGTCCCAAGGCTCCCGGAGACAAGAAGTGCACGTTTTATTTTGTTTCTCTTTTTTGTGTGTGTGTGTGTTGAGTAATTTTTTGTATTCCTGTAGAGAAAACGCGTAAGAAGACGGCCTGTAAACTGCTTTTATAGATGCAATGTTCGAGAAAGATTTGGATGATGGCGGGGAAAGAAGAAAATCGGAGGAGAGAGGCTGGTAGCTGCGCGGGAGAGTCAAGTTTGGGTTGACCTTGCCTCGCAGAGCTCAGGACGTCCAAAACTTCCAGACTTCGAATTTTACAAAGAAAAAGAAAGAAAGCGGTTAAGCATTTTAGCACAGTGTATGCAAAGCCTAACTCTCACAGAGCAAAACCTCGAAGTAGAAGCGGCATACATCCGCAGTGTACGCCGAGGAATAGGAACTACCTTGTACGTCATTTAACAAAATTAAAAAATACAAAAAAAAAACCACAAAGACACCCAGAAGAAGAATCTTCAAACAAGGTGGCTGCCCGTTAGACTAACGCAATTTTGTTTATGAATACAACTTCTGTCCTTTATTGGTATCATAAGAAAATATAAAACAGTAACTAAAACTAATTCACTGAATGCAATAGAATGCGTGAATGCAACAGAATCGCAATTCACGATGCAATATACACGCGGAGCAACTCGCGCGTGTTACTTACAGCTAAAAATCGATATCGCGCGCGCAGATCGCGGACAAAAACACGAAATCCGCTACGAAATCGGGTGCGGGTACCGCAAATCGGGGACGCAGCAGATTCGCATTTCACGATGCGATATACACGAGGGTAACAGCTCGCGTGTTACGCGAGCCGATATTGCGCGCAGATCGCAGACAAAAACGCGGGAACCCGCTATGAACTCGCTTCTCGGACACACCGGTACCGCACATAGCGCTGTTGGTGCGCAATTCTTGTCGGGCATTGCTTGACGTCCAATGGGAATCAGGGGTGGGCGATGTTTCGGAATTTTTATGTTACAGATATTTAGCCAGAAAAACGGGATGGGTGATTTCTCGGGGGAGGGCACCCTTACAAAATTTTACGGTAGTAATTTCCTCAATTAATTTGAAGTTTAGTATTCTCTACTCTACTTTAGTTACTTTTGAAGCCGATACTCAGTAACTTATCTTCTTTTCTTGAGTAACTTGAACATGTCTGATATTACCTGGTGAAATTTCAGGGTTTAGTTCCGTTCCTGTGGAAAAAAAGAGACCAACAGAATTTCCTAGGCAACTGGCGTACGTGTTTGCACACGACCAAGCTAGCAGGTAGAAAACCTCCAAGCGCGTGTTGTAGCTGGTGGCGCAGTCTGCCGACAGGTGCAGTGGGCAGACGACAGAGTCTGGTGCATGGTTGGAAACGCCGCCCTCACTCAGGCCACAAGTCATATTCCGGAGCACCGTGCGTATTCCACGGGGAATTCCTTTTATTAACCACACATTTCCTGCTCACCAGTCATCTGAAGCGTGAAACATATGTGAGGAAAAATCGCGTCTTGTCTCGGCGCTGTGTGGCGTCCCATAGCAACCATCGCTGACGCTGTGACGTGACGGCACGGCATTCGGCAACTTCAGAGTGTCAGGAGTGGCTGTTCTTGTCATGCCGCTCGACAGTGCGACGCGACGCGATTTTTTCTGGCGTGTGTTTCACGCTTTAATTCACCGAACTCTTTCTCGATAAAACGGGGAATGTCTGCTACACAGTAACATTAAAGCATTTTAGATCATAAACAGCAAATGTCACGTTTCAAATTTCGAACACATGCTCACATTGTAACAAGAGCAGCAAAACTGTTAAAAAACGAATGACTTTTGAGCCAAGAGTTTTACGGTGGCATTCAGTGGTCACCCCGCACGGACCTTATCGTGCTGGTGTTGATCACCCTAGATCACATCATATATCAGAGCCTCAGAGGTGGCCAAAATGCGGCTCGCGAGACGCATGCGGCTCTCCGAGGTTCCAAGCGCGGCTCATGACTTCCAAGTAAACATGCCTAAGTTAAAATAAAAAAAAAAAAAGTAGACAGTCTGTGTTTTGCCAGCATTGTGCAAACATGCCTATACTGCCATGAGGCACTCTTTTCAACAACGAAGGAGGTAAAATCAGAACAGCCTGCGACTGTGACGTACAAGAACCCAACTGGGCGGCTCAGGACCGCGACGACGTTTATCCGAACATCATGGTGCTTGTTTCAGGAGGGGGGACGTATTGCGCTCAAAAATAAAAGTTTTTGCTTATAGATAGTCCGCACCCGGTGCATAGTCCGCACGCCGTGCATAGTCCACACAGTACACCCTGACAAATGCCTGCTGTATTAGCTCACAAAGAAGCTTGTATCATACATAAATCAATATTAATACACTCCGGTATTCATAAAATCCTTCACGTCTTGTTACAGTGAACGATCTAGAAAAAAAAAAGCAATAAACAAATCTATAGTTTGCACCTGTCAACAGCCCGCATCGGGTAAAATTTCAACTTTTAAACATGTATAGCCCTCAGACTATACATGCCTTGCACCTACGTCACATAATGACGTCGAACACCGGTATCCGCCATGCTGGTGGTTGACTCGACGGCCCTTCGCAGCGAGGGCAATGGTGAACTGCTCCGCATTCGGCTGTAGCAATTACCCCGTTTCCCGACGATCGTCCGATCGCTTCGTCGGCATGCCCCACGAGACAGAGTAGCCGTCAAGTTAGAGAAAGTACGAGCGGCAGGAAAGGGATGCGGCCGCGGATTATCCAGTTTGCGGGACGCATTTCATAGCGGCGAGCGACGGCACTTTTCAACCGTTGCTTCCGTTCGCGCACGCCTTTGCTTTCTGCTCGTAGCGCAATCGCACCAATGCCAAAAAATTCCGCACGTACTGGATAAACGTCATCATCGTAAGCTCCGCACGTTTTTCCAAGTTACGTCTAACAAAACTATAGGTAGCTTTGTTGAAAATATGGTGCATGTTAGCGCATGTCCGGGCCGTTAGCGGCATCCTACGCCTTGGTATGCGCATCCGCGCGGTGTGACACTGTGAACTCAACCACCAGTATGGTGCGGGCAAGGCATGTATACTCAAAATATTGTATCAGTTAACAGCGATTAAATTTATCTTCAAATTTTTTTTGTTTGTTTCTTTTTCTTTTTTTGTCGTTTTAGATGCAGTACACCGAGAATATTTTTGGTGTTTCGTGTTGTCCACATCAATAAAATATAATGTAAACAAGGACGCGCGAAATAAGAATATCGCAGGGAACGATCGAAAGCAGCTCCCTTCGGCTCGAAGATTTCATTAAAGTTTTATGTGAGGATCCCGTGTCGACGAGTATGCCCTTTGTCGAGGACTGAAAACAGCAAAGTCAAGATGGGCTGATGAAGAGAATCGATCAGTGATTCATCGATTCGAAATCGATGCATGAGCGTGTTTCAGCAATATAGATTAATTTTTTTTTAGCTACATTA